TGCCCATTTTGATTTCCTTTTTTCCCATTTCCGCCGTTTTTTGCCCCATTCTGGGTGGGTTTTATCCCATTTTGAGTTCATTTTTTCCCATTTCTGCCATTTTTTGCCCATTTTCAGTTCCATTTTTCCCATTTCTGACTTTTTTTGCCCATTTTGAATTCCATTTTTCCCATTTCTGACGTTTTTTGCCCATTTTCAGTTCCTTTTTTCCCATTTTTTGATGTTTTTTTGCCCATTTTGAGTTCCTTTTTTCCCATTTCTGACATTTCTGGCCCATTCTGGGTGGATTTTTGCCCCATTTGGGATCATTTTGCCCCATTTGGGGTGGATTTTTGCCCATTTTTGATGTTTTTTTCCCATTTCTGACATTTTCTGCCCATTTTGATTTCCTTTTTTCCCATTTCCGCCATTTTTTGCCCCATTCTGGGTGGGTTTTATCCCATTTTGAGTTCATTTTTTCCCATTTCTGCCATTTTTTGCCCATTTTGAGTTCCATTTTTCCCATTTCTGCCGTTTTTTGCCCATTTTGATTTCCTTTTTTCCCATTTCTGACGTTCCTTGGCCCATTCCAGGTGGGTTTTTGCCCCATTTGGGGTGGATTTTGCCCCATTTGGGGCGAATTTTTGCCCATTTTTGATGTTTTTTTCCCATTTCTGCCATTTTTTGCCCATTTTGATTTCCTTTTTTCCCATTTCCGCCATTTTTTGCCCCATTCTGGGTGGGTTTTATCCCATTTTGAGTTCATTTTTTCCCATTTCTGACATTTTTTGCCCATTTTCAGTTCCATTTTTCCCATTTCTGACTTTTTTTGCCCATTTTGAATTCATTTTTCCCATTTCTGCCATTTTTTGCCCATTTTGAATTCATTTTTTCCCATTTCTGACATTTTTTTGCCCCATTCCGGGTGGGTTTGTGCCCATTTTTCACATTTTTGTTCCCATTTCTGACATTTTTTGCCCATTTTCAGTTCCATTTTTCCCATTTCTGCCTTTTTTTGCCCATTTTGAATTCCATTTTTCCCATTTCTGACGTTTTTTGCCCATTTTCAGTTCCTTTTTTCCCATTTTTTGATGTTTTTTTGCCCATTTTGAGTTCCTTTTTTCCCATTTCTGACATTTCTGGCCCATTCTGGGTGGATTTTTGCCCCATTTGGGATCATTTTGCCCCATTTGGGGTGGATTTTTGCCCATTTTTGATGTTTTTTTCCCATTTCTGACATTTTTTGCCCATTTTGATTTCCTTTTTTCCCATTTCCGCCATTTTTTGCCCCATTCTGGGTGGGTTTTATCCCATTTTGAGTTCATTTTTTCCCATTTCTGACATTTTTTGCCCATTTTCAGTTCCATTTTTCCCATTTCTGACTTTTTTTGCCCATTTTGAATTCATTTTTCCCATTTCTGCCATTTTTTGCCCATTTTGAATTCATTTTTTCCCATTTCTGACATTTTTTTGCCCCATTCCGGGTGGGTTTGTGCCCATTTTTCACATTTTTGTTCCCATTTCTGACATTTTTTGCCCATTTTGATTTCACTTTTTTCCCATTTCTGACATTTTTTTGCCCCATTCCGGGTGGGTTTGTGCCCATTTTTCACATTTTTGTTCCCATTTCTGACATTTTTTGCCCATTTTGATTTCACTTTTTTCCCATTTCTGACATTTTTTTGCCCCATTCCGGGTGGGTTTGTGCCCATTTTTCACATTTTTGTTCCCATTTCTGACATTTTTTGCCCATTTTGATTTCACTTTTTTCCCATTTCTGACATTTTTTTGCCCCATTCCGGGTGGGTTTGTGCCCATTTTTCACATTTTTGTTCCCATTTCTGACATTTTTTGCCCATTTTGATTTCACTTTTTTCCCATTTCTGACATTTTTTTGCCCATTTTGATTTCATTTCTTCCCATTTCTGACATTTTTGTTCCATTCCCGATGGTTTTTGGCCCATTCCGGGTGGGTTTTTACCCATTTTTAATGATTTTGTTCCCATTCCTGACATTTTTTCCCATTTTTGCCGTTTCTATTCCCATTTTTGATGATTTTGTTCCCATTCCCGATGGTTTTTGGCCCATTTGGGATCATTTTGCCCCATTTGAGGTCGGTTTTTACCCATTTTTCATATTTTTGTTCCTATTTCTGACATTTTTTACCCCATTCTGGGTGGGTTTGTTCCAATTTTTGATGATTTTGTTCCCATTTTTGCCATTTTTTCCCATTTCTGACATTTTTCTGCCCCATTCCGGGTGGGTTTGTGCCCATTTTTCACATTTTTGTTCCCATTTCTGACATTTTTTAGCCCATTCCGGGTAGGTTTTCACCCATTTTTAATGAATTTATTCCCATTCCTGACCTTTTTTCCCATTTCTGCCATTTTCTGCCCATTTTGGGTTCATTTTTTCCCATTTCTGCCGTTTTCTGCCCTGTTCTGGGTGGGTTTGTGCCCATTTTTGATGATTTTATTCCCATTTCTGATGGTTTTTGCCCCATTTTTAATGATTTTATTCCCATTTCTGATGGTTTGTGCCCATTTTTAATGATTTTATTCCCATTTCTGTTGGTTTTTGCCCCATTTTTAATGATTTTGTTCCCATTCCTGACATTTTTTCCCATTTCTGCTGGTTTTTTTCCCATTTCTGCCGTTTGTATTCCCATTTTTGATGATTTTATTCCCATTTCTGATGGTTTTTGCCCCATTTTTGATTATTTTATTCCCATTTCTGATGGTTTTTGGCCCATTTGGGGTCATTTTGGCCCATTCCAGGTGGGTTTTAACCCATTTTTGACATTTTTTGCCCCATTCTGGGTAGGTTTTTAACCATTTTGGACATTTTTCTTCCCATTTCTGCCATTTTTCGCCCCATTTCAGGTGGGTTTTCCCCCATTTTTAACGCATTCATCCCCATTTTTGACCTTTTTTTCCCATTTCCGCCGTGTTTTGCCCCGTTCTGGGTGGGTTTTTACCCATTTTTGATGATTTTGTTCCCATTCCTGCCGTTTTTTTCCCATTTCTGCTCTTTTTCTTCCCATTCCTGCCGTTCCTATTCCCATTTCTGATGATTTCGTTCCCATTCCCGATGGTTTTTGGCCCATTTGAGGCGCTTTTTTTACCCATTTCTGCCCTTTTCCGCCCCATTTCAGCTGGGTTTCCCCCATTTTTAACGCGTTCCTCCCCGTTTTTGACCTTTTTTCCCGTTTCCGCCGTGTTTTGCCCCGTTCCCGCGGCAGGACCCGCGCAGCCGGGGCGCTCTGGGTTTCGGGGTGCCCGGGGGTCCCCCCCCGGAGCGGCTCCTGACCGTGGTGCACGGCCCCGACCTCGTCAGCCTCGGCTTCCTCAACCTGCTGGCCGTGGAGGAGGGGGAGGCCAAGGTGGGATTTGGGGGGTCTGCAAGGGATTTTGGGGGGATTTGGTTGGATTTTGGGGGAATTTTGGGGATTTGGGGGGATTTGGGAGGAATTTGGGGGGGATTTGGGGGATTTGGGGGATTT